TAAACAGTCGCTCCCTTGTATGAGCGAAAGATCCGCATCTATGAGATGTAACCATAGTATTCTTCGCGAAGAAGAGATGGAAGAGATATGAACACAACGTTAGGATGAAGAAGGAATATTAGAGATCAACATTGTCGGATGTTTCACAAGTGCCTAGCTTATAGATAAGGATGGCCTCCAGGAATGGGGAGAGTGGCAGTACATATGCGGAGCAAAAGGACATCCAGATCTTAATATCTGTGTGCATTAATCATCGACACTAGTGGTGAAAGGAGGTACACCTGTGGGGTTGGGTGAACGGCGGGCTGAGAACAACGGGAGCGGGAAAGGAGGGCCCACGATTGTTCGATAGAATCATGTAGAGAACAGCATATGTCACTGGAAGTCACAGAACTTCAGAAGTATGATTTGCTGGTCACGGAACTTGTCAAAAAACGGGTGCGCATTAGTCAATTTGGCTCCGCGTGGTAGGCGCCATTAACCGTGCACTTCTCATAAGAGGGCGCTCAGACTTTTTTTTTTCTTGGAAACACTTAGTCATGTATGCTCATGTACTCAAGGACAATGTGGTCGCCTCCTAAGTCTATCGGACGCATGGTGATCGGCGAGTCCATTCCAAAGGAAAAAAAAGATGCTAGCTAGTATATCCAAGCAAACTTATCCTCTAGATTCTCCCAACAAACTATGGGCTTGAAGCCTAAATAAGAGATACACCTTGCTCACCAGTCAGCATCCATCCATGCATCACATGGCCAACGAAGCTAGCTAGCAGCCTAGCATCATAGCATAGATTCTAACTTGCACACCATGAGAAGCTAGTAGCTCTTAATCTTCTCACCCAATGACGTGTCCACCCCCTCTTGTGGCCATCAATAAACTCCAAGGAGCCGATCGACCGAATCCACGCGTGGCGATTGATTGTTTCCATTCACCAGACACCAGAGCAAGCAGACAAGTGCAGATCTACAAAAGGTGGATGTATTAGACAGCTTGCCGTACTGAAGCGACGTGTTCCGTTGCTGATCAGTCGATCCATCGGACCATCAGCAGCTCCCCACTGTTCATGTCAGTAAATGCATGCAAGTGAAGATTAAGTATATACTAGATACGTGCACCCACTTTAGATTCCTGCTGATCACTAGCTTAGCTAGGGCCAGCCGGAACATGCATTTGGTGATGATTCTCCAGGCTTATATATGCGTGCATCGATGCATGTGGCCACTGGCGAGCAGGTGTAAACTATTCCCGGCCGGCGGCCGACTGTTTTGTTTGATCCCCGGCCCTGCTTGATTAGCGCGCGAGGCTAGCCTAGATCCTCGTGGTCGGTCGGTCCATCGATCGGCCCGGCGACTTGTGTCTCGTTGCCTGTCTGCTTGTTTAGCTTCGATCGATCCGGTTCCGGCCGGCCCCGGTCGACATGGATCAGTGTGCGTCCAGGGTGCTGCCAATCATCGACGAGGGGTCGGAGTTGGAGTCGGAGACGGGGTCGTCAACGGAGGGCGTGGCGCCCGAGACGACGACGAGGAAGGCCGCGGCGGCGGCCGCGGCGAGGGCCATAGCCGAGCGCAGGAAGGCGATCGTGGCCAGGATGAGGGAGCTGCTCCGGCGCGCCGTCGTGCAGTCGTCCTCGGCGGCGGCGACTCAGTCCAAGCTCCGCTCCTCCACCGTGGCCACCGCCAAGAAATGGAAGGTACGTAATTAATAGCGACCGGACCGAGCTGCCTGAAATTATTAGTTCTCTCGTTCACTGGATGTTATGTTCATGCGCGCTCTGTTGATCGATTTATTTCCAGAGGGTGGTGAGCTTCAAGAGCTGGGACCATCAGCGGCGGCGGCAGGCCGTCCACGGCAGGCTCGACGGCATGAGCTCCGCGTCGTCGGTGTCCAGCGCCAGCAGGAACAGCCTCAGCAGCCGGGACGCTGCCTTCCCGCGCTCCCCTCCACTGTACACCACCGCGTATAACCATACGAACAAGATATGCTTCGAAGAGATCATGGCGATGGAGCATGAGGCTCACTGGATCACCACGGATTCCGACTGTGAGCTCGCTCAGCTCAGCTGCATGCTCGTTTCATCTTCAAAACTCTAACCTGTGTGTGAGCGGTGTTGATTTCTTTTTTCTTTTTGATGAATTTGCAGTCGTCGTGCTGGAGCTCTAGACAGCGGAGACGCCGACGACGCCGACGACGACGCCGACGCCGCGGTGATCTCTCCGACGAGCAAATTACGTACCGAGTGGCGGGAATTCGTTTGAGGCCCGGCCCAAGTCTTGCAAAATCGTCCAGGCATGATCACACAAGTTTCTGGGCTAATAGTAGTGGGCCTGCAGATCAATCAAATAATGGACCGACTTATATGTCTATTGTTTTCCCTCAAAAAAAATGTCTATTGTAAAGGCTGATTTTGCTTCTTCATCTTCTTCTTTTGAATTATTATTGTGCATTTGATATTTGACGGCTCAAAGAGCTGGGACAGATATTGTATTTTTAGAAGAAGAAATCATCTTTGCATAACTTAATTATTACTGTACAGATTTGTAGTATTGCAAGCATACTAGTACCAGAAAGGCTCAAGGTACTTTTGATAGAACTCACCTTTAAATTTCTCGGGATTCTTTTGGTACACAACTTCAGTCTTGGGTCAAATTGCCTGAACAAACATGATATGACTTCCAAATTTTGGTGTACCATGTTCAAAGAAAATCATCATATTATTTTGTCGTGCAATGATTGGGCAATGGCAGTGTTCGTAGATCATTGGAGCATCCATGAAGTGAATTCATGCAATCTGAGATCAAAGCAGAAGTTTAGATTATGGGAAGAATAACCATTTCACAAACATACATTTGACACTGAGATGAACCATGTTATTACAAGTCACCATGGCACATTTTCCCAACCTCCTGGCAGAGCGCATCGTATAATTCTTCTGCATGAGTCTAGCAGGTCGGTGTCGGCACGTGATCAGACTCTATGGTAGTGTGTATAAGGGTCCATGCCATTGCACACTCGGAGGATACAACCTCTGTACCGACATGAGGGTTTTAGGCCGGTGTCTGCTCGGAAGAAAAGACTTCCAGGGCCAGTAAAACTTCTGCAACTGGTTGTAACTTTTATTTCTCCATAGTACAACCCTAGAATGAACTAAAATGAGTAGGAACCAACAAATGGAACCAAAACATCAGTGATAGATATTGTACTCCCATCAAGTTCAAGGCCCATTTGATTCGCACGATTGAAAAATGCGGGAATAAGAAAAAAAACATAAGATTACCATGTCATGCCCTTTTGAATCCTATAAGATTAAGGTTTGTTTGATTTCATCATAGTGAAAACAAAGGATTACTTTTAAGAGGTTCGAATGGATACTAAATTCCTATGTAATGTAGTAGAAAGAAATTCTTACAAAAAATCATGTAGGTTTCAATCATGCGAATCAAGCAATATTGGAAAAAAATCCTAAGAATTTCAATCCTTATAATTCTTATGAAAATCCTTTGAGTCAAAGGCACACCCTCAAAGGTGTGCGAGTCTCTTTGATTCACAGGGTTCCAAAAACGCCGCAGTAGGAAATAAATAGGATTGCAATGGCATGGCCATGATTTTTTGTTTGTTTGATTCCATCATCAGGAAACCGAAGTATTCTTTTCAAGAATTTTGAGTGGATGTTAATAAAATTCCTATAGAACCTAGGACAAAGGAATCCGTGGGTAAAAAATCCTACTAGATTCCATCCCATGAATCAAACGACCAATATAAGAAAAATTCCTAAGATTTCAAATCCTTTAGACTTGAAAAGGTACAGAGAAAGTGCGGGTTACAGAACGAGTGGGCGACAAAGAAACTGCGGTCGTGGCCTCAATCCTAGGCAAGAGAGGAGGTCGCGGCACTAAGGAAAACAATAACAACTCGGTGAACAACAAAGGAGAGAAGCCAGACAAGAACAAGAAGAAGAGGGGGCGTGTTGCTAAAGGAGAAGAAAGGAGTGTGGATGAAATAGGTGGAATGGAAGCGACATGCCCTGGGATGCCGGCAAACTGACGGGCGCTAATGGCAGTGCCCGTCAGGAGCCATGACGGTCCTACGCCAAAACTATCAAGGCCTTGGGCAACCCCGGATAGTTCAGGAACTTGCATGCCTAGTGCATACATACGAGCCAAATCTTGTGTTCCTCTTTGAAACCCGACAAATCAATTCATATGTTGAGATAGAGGCTTGGTCTCAAACACTGTATCACTCAACCCGTCATTGGAAAAAGTGTCTGCACTGCGCTCTTCTATGATGAAAGCGCCAAAGTAATAAAGCTTGTTGTTGGCCCGAGGTACATCAATGTGTTGGCTCGTTTAAGTTCAAATGGATTGCAGTGGCGTGGTACTTTTGTATACAGTGAACCAAAAAGCTCATGAAAGAAACAACATGTGGGAATTTTTTAGAAGAATCAAGGGAATTTCAAATGCTCCTTCGTTAATGTTAGGCGACTTAAACGAGATGATGTGGCAATCAGAACACATTTCGGTCTTGAGAAGATCAGAGAGGTATATGGAAAATTTCAGGGGAGTTCTTGCAAAGTGCAATCTTTTTTACATTGGATTTAAAGGATCCATCTGGACATATAATAATAAGCAAGAGGGCAGGAAGAACATGAGATCCAGGCTGGACAAAGGGGTGGCTTCACCGGAGTGGTCTGAATATTTTAGAAAAGCTTCCGCTGAACATATTTGTAGCTCTAGGTCGGACCACCTACCTGTGCTGCTTCGTATTGGAGATTGCAAGGTCAGGAGTGGAGACTAGTGTGGAAAACACTAGTAGAAAACGGGCCTTCAGTCCCGGTTTCAGAGGGCCTTTAGTCCCGGTTCTGGAACGGGACTAAAGGGTTAAGACTAAAGCCCAAATCTTTAGTCCCGATTTGCTTACGAACCGGGACTAAAGGAGCTCCACGTGGCCGCTGTCTGGAGCTCCATCTTTAGTCCCGGTTGTAACAAGCGGGACTAAAGGAATTTTTTTTAAAATATGATTTTTTTTGAATTTTCAAATTTCTGAATTATTTGACAATTTAATCTTTAATCACCCCTCATCACTGCTCAAGTATGAACCACTTATTTCAAATCGTCTAATTTCCCGGCCGGTCACCCATCGGCTCACTACTCTGGCCTGAGCACACTTAACTTTCGAGTTCTATTCCCCCTAGTTTCCAAGTCTATACTTGTTGTTTTCCTGACAATACTAAACTATCAATCCTATTAAACCTTAGGAGTTGAACTTGAGCATGAATCACCGTTTGAGTTTGAAACTATTATTCTAAAAAATAATTATTATTTATTAACATTAATATTTCTTGAATAAGTAGTTTGACTATAGTTTGACCAAAAATTCAAAAAAACTTAAATTTGAGGATAACGTTTTTCCTTTAAGAATTTGAGGATTCTAAAACTTTGCAAAACTGTTTACGGCGGTCAAAATCAGATGCTGATTTTTTTGATATATTATGTGGGTTTTTTTCGACATCGTATGCAAAAGATATGTCTGTTTTACTTTTTCATAACACTTATTTGCAAAACATGTCCAAATTTAAGTTTTTTTAATTTTCCTAACTAGTAGATGTAGTAACTAACTACATCTCAAAAGATTTTAATTTTTGAATTTTTTATCATTTTCTTTTGTTTTTTACAAAACTAAAATGGTGATACACCGGGGGGGGTAGAGTTTGAACCTTTTGAGTCCGGGATGGTGTCCATCCAATCCTACCGTCAACTACATCTGGTAGCACCGTCCCAGCCAGAGTCACAACTAAGGTTAACCAAGCCAGAGTCACGTTCTATTAAAGCGTTCAAAGGAATTACTTTTTAACATAGCAAAACTAATTCTATCAACTATTATTAAAGGCTAATCAACTATTAATACACAACAATAGCAAAATTAATATTAATTAATTATAAAAATTTATCTACTGTTGTCTAACAGAAGCATACTAAAACATGTTAAAATCTACAGAAAGAACTAACTAAAAATAATTGAAAACAACAATTAAAGGACTAAAACAACTATATAAGCAAAGCAGTAGTGTTTTAATTAAACCTAGTTTAAAATATTCTCAAAATAATCATATAAATCTTACTTTGACAACAATCTGACATGTGACTAGGAGCAAAAATAATTAAATTAAAAACTATTTTTAAACTCAAATTATTCACAATCTAGGTTTTGAAGCAAATTTGACCGAATTCATATTTAAATCCTTCAAATTTGAAGACTAATGGCACAAACAGAAACTAGACAAAATTTTGAATCTAGTGCAAAAGGAATCACTCAAAAAAATCAAATATCCTAAAAGATATAAGCAATTTAAAACAGAAACTAAAAATAAAAAACAAATAGAAAAACAAAAAACAAATTTCAGAACCCCTTTAGTTCCGGTTTGGGACACGAACCGGGACTAAAGGGCATCACACCCTTTAGTCCCGGTTCATGTCTCAAACCGGGACTAAAGGTTTAAAGGTCTAACCTTTAGTCTCGGTTTGAGACACGAACGGGGACTAAAGGGCATCGCGCCCTTTAGTCCCGGTTCGTGTCTCAAACCGGGACTAAAGGTCCCATTTGAACCGGGGCTAATGCCTTCCCGACTCCCTAGCCGCTCGAACCGGGACTAATGCTCACATTAGTCCCGGTTCGTAATGCAACCGGGACTAATGTGTACATTGAGCTTGGACCAAAGCCCTGTTTTCTACTAGTGAAAAGTGATCATGATACCAAATGGTTCCATAGGAAAGCGACTTGGAGGAAGAAGAAAAATGAGATCACAAAGCTCAAGGACAACAGCAGGGTTTAGAAAGTGCACATAGAAGGGATAAACGAGATGGTAAGGAATTGTTTCGAAACCTATATTAGAAAGAAGGAGGTATTGACCCCCATGATATTCTGGAGCTTATCAAGACAAGCATCGCCAAGGATATATACAACAAATTAACAAAACTATTCACGACGGAGGAGCTCAGCGGCGCCCGGCTCGGACGGTTTACCGGTCCATTTCTATCAAAGGAATTTGGATGTGTTGAGAGATGATGTGATTAAAGGAGTTATGAATTACATGCTATAGACAAAAAATATACGTTCCTCAATTAAAAAGTAAATTTGTATTTTTGGTGTCGGTGATGATTAAATGT